CATGATCTCCATTATCTGTATGTATAAATTTATGCAATATTTTTTATGAAGGTAAGAAAAATAATGAATCGAAAAAACTAAGTGGTACACCCATTGTTATAACTGTGATATACACGAATACTAGTATTAATTGACATCGTTGCTTTATTACACAGCATTTGAACATTTCTAATAATTATACCAGACAGGGGTTGTAATAAATTAATCCGTGAATCAGATCTGTCATATTTTGGGGCTGGACTCTTATAGTTGTCTTCGACATCGAAGTAAAATACAACTGTTTTCGATTTTTGTAATTATCGGCTCAAAGTTCGTATCTATTTTAATCGTTTTCTTTTAAGAGCAAATCTGCCGGAAAACCATGCAATAATCCAAATGCAATTCTATAATATTGACATGAAATTTTGCAATTTCGGCGAATGATCATAATACTCAATCTAAATTACTTAGTTTGGAAGGTATAGTGATTTAGCACGTGTTATGCTATATATATGATATTTGTCTTATATGGATGCATTAATAATTCACCTCTGGGGCCCCACCTTTTAGAAAATAAATATATGATACATAACTAAAATATTTAATTGGAATCTCATACAACTTTCACATTAAACCCTTTAGTGGCTTCGGAGGAGTTGTGACCGCATGAAGTTACACTATACCGCTACTGATTTTCTCCTTTTTGGTCCAAAGTTTTCCCATAATCCCTCAATAGATAAAAATCAATATATGGTGCACAATTTCAGAACCCTTACAAGACATACCATTAGTTTTGTTTATATCCATTCTCTACTTTGATAGGACTAAAAGATTGTATATATATTGCAAACAAACAGAGAGACGGACGGACATACCGACATTATGCATAAATTATGTTCTCCAGATATCAGTAGCATATGTATAATAAGTCTCTTTACACAAGAATTAAATGGATTCGGGATAGCCACTAATTACAGGTCAAGCCAGCCCTTCTGCATGTTGACCAGTAAAATAATTTGTTAAAAGAAGAACGCTGATATTGTTGGTTCACTATTGTTGATACGCGAATGAATTTTTCAAATTGAATAATACATGTGGAGATAATTCATCAAATCACTAATTACTATATCTAACTTTAAAAAAGAGGGACATGTTGTATAGATTCATTACCATGATGATACAAAATCTTTATATTTATTTGATGGAATACCAGCAAAATAACAGAGCTTTGTTGCTGTTCTTCATCTAAAAGTCAGTTTGATCCTTTCAACGTGTACTAAAAGCTTTCAAAATTTACCCTTACGCAATGTTTAGCTTCATTTTCTAAACTTTAACTGTCGGACTTTTGTGTACATAAAAAAAACATGTTTCACTCATTTTCATTTTATACTAATTCAAAATACATGTATCAAGGCAATTAGTACAGGAAAATAAATCATTAATACAATGACGGTGGCATTTGTTTTAAGATACACTCGACTGTTTTTGCAACAAGAATGAATGTAAAGTTGAAATGTCTATGCTATCTGTATAATGCTATATGTCGCCAAGTCTATAGAAACTGAATGTACCAGCATGTCACCGGCATGCTTTGCAAATCTTCGTCATCAACTACATTCAAATTAGCAATTCTAACTAATGACGACTTTGCTGGACCTCTAGATCTAGATCCAAGTTTGACAAATTTGGCAAATACACTCCAAATTTGAGATGTGATAACTACTCGTCAGATTTAAATTTCTTTGTTCCATTATTGTTCCTTAATAGTTTTCAAATAATTAATAGTTTGCTCAAAAAATTTCTTTTTTCTGTAGCACTATATTTTACGTATATATCATGTAAAAAATGCCTTAATCCTACTACTTAAACGTTTCAATGGCTTGAAATAACCATAGAAAAACATCATTCTGCAATATTCAAACTAGTCAAAACTGATTGTGGCAAAATATTTGTACTTATGAAAATCAGTTACATGTACTCATGTCTCAGCCCATAGAAGTTTCACTTTGTAATACATGTAACTACCTTTTTTTTTGTTGGTATTTATATACATGCTTGCTATGTATATATGATATTTTAAAATATAATCAATTTCGCTTTTGACGAGTCGAGAATGGACCATAATCTGAATTATCATTAGTGTCAGCTAATACATTTGCTCATAAAACATTCAGTTTCAGCTATCCATTATATCCTCCATCTAATTTGTCTGTACTATAAGTGTAATTTACAGATCTTAGTACGAATGCTACTTCTTGATAAATTGTATTTATACCTAAAAAAATGTTATTATGTTATCATAATATATTGAACTGATAAAGCAAAATGTAGGGTAATATTGACAAAATCCTAAAGAATAGTGTTCTAGCTTCATACAAAGTGTGGGTTTTTTTTCTTCTCAAAAATGACCAGAGACATATCGTTGTCTCAAACAGACTAAAAGGTTTTACTGATTTAGAACAATACAAGGGTAACTACTAGTAGCACGACAAGTGTTTTATTGAGTTTGTATTGAGAACTTCAGTTTATAATTCGGATGCAATTCATTTCAAATGTGAGTAAATGCCCTGTGCATATTTTTAATTGTTCTAATTTTTCTAAGTGTTATTTTCGACTTTATTTTTTTTATGGGTTGGAAAAACTGGCAAAAAATCTAAAACAAAAGAGGGACAGGAAAAACAGACAATGGATCGGCTCAAGATTTGTTACTTTGTTTGACGATTCTATACTTATGTACAGTTTGGCATGATACCGCCTTCGAAAAGGTCTCTATGCTTACAATGAAAATTTGTTATATTTCATGTGATCATTCATAAAATTATACAGATGTTTGATAACCCATATCAAATCATTAACATGTGCTAGTTAATTTTATCAAGGCAAGTCATTGTACTGATCTAGACTTGTAAATAGCCAAAGTTAAAAACTTTCAAAAATTTAGTCCACCCAGACAATGCATATTTTGATTGATGTGTATGGAGTCCTATCTGGATCAATTCCTCAAGTTTTCTCTCTTTATCAGTAATGTTTCTAACAAAGGGGACATAGTAGTAGAAACAGGGAAAATACTTTTTAGTCTACATTCTGAGGAAAATAAAATAAAAATCAAACAACTCTTTATATGAACAGATTTTTACAGATCATTGTGATGTGAGGCTGGTCCTGCATACTTGTACTTCGTTCACCCTGACACATGCTATATGTATTATAAAACTTGCGACAAGAAACAATGAGAGGAAAAAAATAAAAACTTATCAATTGGATTTGGAAAAAAAGGTATAATACAAATATACAAATATATCTCTGAACGGATTAGATTAGTACTCATTTCAAGAATGCACTTTTCCCCCGTTAAAATTATAAAACCGTATTTGAAGAGAATATATTGACTCAAAGGAACTAAATAAATATATGCCAATGGGGAATTCTTGTCTGAATGGCCAATTGATTTAAAAGAGTTTTTAACCCATGATTATATATATCAAACTATGATATTCTAAGAATTTTTTTTTGTAATTAGCTATTCGAAACACTCAATGAATGTGAAACCAACTTATGGCAGAAATTTTATATAAGAGGAAGATTTGTCAAAAAACAGATTCATATGCATATAAAATACTCGTATTAGTTAGAAAAAAAATTGGGTGAGGGAGTGACAAATAATTTTGTTTTTTTTTATAATTAAAAAAAAAAACTTCCAAGGCCAACCATATACCCTTCCTCCAAAACTTGAGCCTCAGGAATCTATCTTTTTGTATGTGTATGGAGGAAGAATGTATACTTACCTGTTCCTACGTTGATGACCTTTTGGGGTTTATTGTCCCCAACTTGTATGCCTGTCACCTCTTTATTTTATTGCCTTGCTTGAAGCTGGATGTTCTCTTGAGCAACATTTCAGTAAATCTAAGCTTCCTTTCCTATAAATCCAAAAAAATAGTTTCTGCGTTGCTGGCATATGTTTAACTGAAGCATTTTAGCATCAACATTAAAAAGCGATATGTAACATTTTGGTTCACTTTGACCTTTTTCCAGACACTGTTCTCCAATCAAATGTATATGTGTGTTCTTATTTGACTGTGAAATAGGTTTTGTGAGATTGCCCTTGTCATGATTTGGTTATTTTGCACAAGAATTAACAGTAAATATGTGAAGTCAAATTTCTTCTTCTCATTTTAATGGCAGACAACTTATGGTTGCATTATGTTTTCACAACGGAAAATCTGAAAAAAAGGTAGATATCTCATAGAACACCTGTGACTGGTTTTTGTCCCCTATTACAGAGATTTATTAGCAATAAAACAAATGGTTTTGTGTTATGGGTGGATACCCCATATCCTTTGTTTTTCTATTATAGAAATAATGACATTATGTATGTCAAATGTAACATGCAGTAATTTTATGTTATACAGGTCTAAGTTAATTCATAGCTTAGGGTTTATGGTTTTTAATTAGAATTTCAATAATTCAGAATTTTATCAAATTTAATATCTTGCAATAATTTGCAAAAAATTTAATTAACATTTTTGAAATTATCCATTTGTCTTTTCACTGAAACTTATTTCTCCACTTTAGGAGATTGGTGGACTCAGGCTCCCTTCAAAATGCATTGTGGCTCACAACTGCTGGTATCTCCAAAAACAATTGCGATGCTACAAAATCTAAGATATATATTCTTACCATTCCTTTACATATAAGATTTTAGAAATATAAAGGCTATTTCAAAAGTTCCGTCATGCCATTTAGACAATAATTGGATTTTGCATGGATTTGTGGCAGAATCTTACTGATTAGAGAAGTATTGTAACTCGAAAGTAGAACAAAAACATTTGACAACGAAGTAAAATAATTTCTTAAATAAATATTCTTTCAAAAGAAAAATCTTCAATGTTCTTACTTTAGTTTTTAGTCAAACATTTTACAACAAACATTATTTGTAGAATTTACAATAAAATATTATAGACAAGACATCCAAAACTACTGACAACATTCAAACAAAATAATAACATTTTTGTTTCAGATCTTTGATCGGTAATCACATTACATCTGTACAAGAAATGTTCCGAAATAATCAAGAACTCAGAGAGCTGTAAGAAAACAAACATTTTAATATTTCCATCAGTAGTATACAAAAACAACCTATTCAGCGTCAATAATCGGCAGAATATATTTTTCATTGGCAGTAGAAATGACTATTTAATTTTAATATTCCATCAGTGGTGCCACTGTTGGTTCTGCTAGTTTAACTTGGTATGACATAATAAGTATAAACATCAATTTTGATTTAAAAATGAATATAAGAAACAAAGAGTTACTCTCATGGTGATTATTATTTCAAATCCCACCATTCGTAACTGAGCATTAACAAACAAAACTATGATCTTAACATTGATAGGTTTAAGGATTAAATTTCACAAACAGATTCTTAAATGGACAAAAAGTATGGATATGGAAGTAAAATAAATGTTTGTAATATTAACAGAAAACCTCGTTAAGGTTGCTCGGGTGTCCTCCATCTTGGATTTTGAAGTAGCAGATATCAATTGGTCTAGATCTTTTATGTAATGTGTAAATTTTTAGAGTAGTATGTAATTCATGTGTAAGACTTTTAATGATTATTTAAAAAATATGTGTTTTATCATATTTATGACTGTATTTTTTTAAACAAATACAATATCTTTGTTGAAATATTTTTTTCAAGTTTGCAAAACAAGGGGAGATAACTCAAAAAGTAGGGGAGATAACCCAGAATAAAGTAATTTTATAATAGAAAGTGTTGTGAATTTACCTATTTTAATATGTTACAAGAAAACAAGTTCGGTGACCCTTTTTTTTTCTTTTTCTTAGCTTAAAGCATGTTATAAGTGCTACCTTCTCTCGTTTAATCTTAAAATTCTATGATGTAGTTTTCTTTTTATCACACAAAATTGGATTTTCCATGTATTAAATATACAAAATCTGACAATTTTGCACAACTTTTAGCTTGAAAAAAAGTCCGGTGACACAAGCTTTTTATTATATTTTTGAAAAAGCATGATAGAAACATCACTTTGACAAATTATTAAAAAAATCTTTGGATTTTAATGAACCCCCCTCCCAGCCACCTTAACTCAAGTTTTCCGTTCAACTTAAACTTTCACGGCTCATAGCTAGGAGAACAATAGAACTAAAAATACATATCGGCACAAAACCAGCTAAACGCCTTAACTGAGTAGTAAATCCCAACAAAAGTCAAGGTACTTTGAGAACACTGCAATACATATAACAATACAGAGAACAATTATACAGAAAAAATACAATCGTTTTGTTTCAGCTACTTGGGATTCAATAAGATAGCTACAATACAACAGGGAATATTTCAAGATTTGCCAGCACTCTATCGTCTGTATGTATACATTTTAATAATATTTTATTCAAACTAACAATAGAATTAAACAAGAACGACATGATGTTAACTATTCTCAATGAGCACAACATTATGCTTTGTTCCGTCAAACTTTGTGATTGGTCAGTGATATTTAAGAGTGAATTTGTAAAATAAGGGATTTTGTAAAAACCTTGAAATAATTAGTGAGTTTCAAAAATTTCTACCAGTTTCAGTGATTTTCCTGAATTCATTGAACTGTAAGATATGTAATACAATCCCTGCAAATGTTGTGAAGGATTTTGTAAAATCTCCAATAACAAATTTAAACATAGTATGAGGAATGTATTTTTCGTAATAAAGGTAGATCATTCAGCTTTTTGACAGTCACGCATATTTTTTACATCTCATCATTGAAAAATTACATACCTACGCTATTAATAATATTATACATAAAAGTTACTTTGTATTTGTTTCTTATCTAAATATTGGAGAAAGTTGTAAATGATTTATCTCGATGTGAGACCATTGTATCTAAGATCAAAACGAGGAAAGCATGACAATTTGTCAAGGAGACATTTGCCTGTTTGGTTCACTAATAATTGGAATGTAGTCCACAACTAAGTATGTTTTTACACATTAGCTGTCGTCAAATAGAAACAACGTTTCATATGTAGCATATATAAAAACACTTATATGAATTTTAGATTCCCTTTTTACTTATCAAACATGAAAGATCTACGATGATAATGTTTGACGTGTTTTCAAAGTTAAAATCAGATAGTGTGCCGGGTATTGTAATTATTCTCCCTAAGGACTTTTACTGTGTGTGCAAACATTTTAATATTCCGACTCAGCGTGTTGGTCTAACAAAAAAAAAGGTTCATACTCATATCACATTAATATATTATCGTACTGATATGCCTTTTTTACTTGCCACGTGAAAACTTGGCTTTATCCAGCCAACTCCTTACCTGTGTTGTTGTTTCACTTACGTTGGTAATCAGTCAATGTACTGCCCTTTATTTTTTTTTGGATAGATAATTTCTTTTATACTCTTAGTAATTACACGCTGAAGCAGTGAACATTTCACTAATTTTCGAACGAGGTAATACATAAAGCTTGTTTTGTCTTCTTATACTTCAGCAATATGTTCTACTATTTTATCATATTTTTCCTGGTTCCATATATCACATTTTAATTTTCCATCAGTTATTTAACAAAGAGAGGCAAATGATACAAATTAAGGGACATTGAAAACTTGGAACTGCTAATTTTGTATAAAATTTCCTGTGTAACTATTGTAGGCTTTTGTCTTTTTTTCAGGGAATTGTTTAAACAAAAGATTGATTATTTAAAATAAAATTCCTGAATTAAATCAGTGAAGTTATATAACAGTTATCCCAGATGCTTGTTAAAACCCAACAACAAATTGGCAGTATTTGGCAACAGCCTTTATTATTATTGTTTAGATTTATACATATTGTATATAAGTAATCTCAATATAAATGTATGTATGTGCCGCAGATCGCTGGCAATTTAACCGTCACTTGTATATCTGAAAATATAAGGTTACCGGCATATCGCTGATTATGGCAACCGTACTATCAAATATATATATAAATGACTACCACAGATTGTGGTAACTGCATATAATATTAGGACAATTTGGATCACCGTGGGATCACAGGTTAGGTATGAAAACCCTTACATTGTTCATTTGAAGTGAATGATACTATTTATAAAAGGAAATGTTTTTTGATGCAGCGAATTCTGCAATACGAGTACATTTGTAAGTCATTCTTTGACAACAGTTCTTTCAACATCAAGCGGAATTCTTCATATGTCCATTTTGCAAATACATGTAGGCGTCCAAAAATGTTAACTCATACATCACCTGAAAAAAAATATAAACCAAAGCAGTATCTAATTCTAAACATATTTACAAGAATTGCATGTTAAATATCAGTAACAAATTTGTTTACTGAAATTTTTGAGTATTGACGCTTTTTTCCGGCATTCATGTTTCAAAGATTGGATAACATTTATTTTATCTTGTTCCTTTAAATTTCAGTTGGTGTATGGAGTACAAATATAAGCCAATCAAAAGACACAACTCTGTGTCCACACTTGATTATATTTACGAAATAATCAATCAACAGGGCGGGATGGCGGTTTTTTTTGGTGTTATGTTTGAGTTCAATTGTCTTCTGCCTTCCTCCTTGGATCCAAAATTAAAAAGGCTCGTTACGTCAGATTTTAAGGTTCAATAACCACCAATGAGATAATGGTATAGTAAACTCATCCATAACCAAACAAGACATATAGGGTACAGCGCACCGTGATAACTGAATTTAAGTACAAGACTTAAATTCTATTATTAAAAAATTAGTCAATATCGTCATATATGGATTGCTCACAGGACAGTGGTATTGACTAAGAAAGTGATATTGACGGAGCCGTAGGCGAGGTCATTATAGCTGTCACAGTCAATACCACTGTCCTACGGGCATACCATGAATCACGATATTGTTCAAAAACTTTTATATGAATTTCATTTAAGAACCGTGTTTTTAAAAATTCTCATAAATTCAAATTGGTCAAAGCAAACTAGAGCTATTGTACGATTTCTATAGGAAAAAGTGTAGACCAGTCATATTGATAACTAAAAGACACTGTTATTCATTTAAGTGCATTTTTTTTTAAAGTTTTCTATTATATTATGAATAACGAAAATATGGTAAACAATTCAAAAACTTCAATATAAAATTGAAAACAGGAAAATGTTTAACTGACGTTTATCAAAGGGACATCACTCTTAACAGAGAACCCACGCCCACTGGTCACTAACATGTCAAAGTCCATTAACGACCGGTTTTCTGGTCCGTTTTTTTCTGTTAAAGACCGATGAATTTTTTTAATAAAGAATAAAGAATGTCATTTGGCCCCTTGTTATTTAATAAGAGAAGGTTATTCTTAACCGATATGAAATAATGTAAAGTAAATTTTGTATATCCCCAGTCCAAATTGAGGATTTTTTCAATTCAATGGTTTACCAAACTCCTGGAATTTCAGGGATTTTACAAATTATCTGTACAATATATACTTGATAACAAAACAAAATAAACGCAGTAGATGCCTTTTGAAAATACATTTGAGAATTTACAAATGTTATCACAGTTGGAGTTCAATGATAACACATCTTTCGTAAATGGAACAGTGGTTTAATATATCAAGGATTATTCACGTAATTTGCCAAAACATACCTGTGCCTAGTAAAATTAGCGTGTTTCTTTCTTTTATTATTATTCAATATTAGTTTGAGATGAACATCAGGAGATTTGGTATGATTTTCAATAATTATTACACAACCTTCTACTAGAGACCACATGAGCAAATTTTATACTGCATAGTAAGCTATAAAGGGCTTTAATAATGTAGAACGACTCAATCATGAAATAACCAACGGTATAGGTTATGCACGAAACAATTACCAAGAAAATATATATAGCATCAACCAACTACCACTGAAAAACTGTTATAATGACCTTAGACAATGATGTACAGAATGTGACAAAGTTAAACAAATTTGTATGATATCAACAAAGTACCGATCTGAGAAGTCTTGCAATTACTGAAGGTTAGGTCAAAGCCAACTACAACTAATAGACAAACCATGTTACCATGACTAAACTATTAATCACTAAATACCTAATAGATTTAATGTAAAGATGTAATAAACAGTTTGAAAAGACATTACCATTTGCAATCACAAAATATAGGTATCGTTATGATGTAGGACCGTACATTTAATTACTCAAATTTATATAGTTAGCCATACTTTGTCATGCTTTAACTTATTGATATCAAAACTAATATTTTTTGTACCAATGACACAATATTCTAATATATTATTCCATAGTTCAATTTATGACCTTTATGAATAAGTACATTGTACACGCAAAGGATTGATAATTAAAACTGCTTTTATCTAAATGAACGGGCTATATAAAAATCTTCATTGTAAAAATAGGAGTATGATATTCCTTTTGGAATATTTTTTTTAATTATTTTTATCAATGAAAGTAATTATTTAAAGATTTAAGTAATGTGAGGTAACGATTGTCTTAACAATCGAATAGTTATACATAGATTTGGTTCATTGAATATATGTATAGGACTCTGAACCGCGATGGTACTCCGAACCGCGATAGTGACGCTGAAGTGCAATGGTATAACGCTGAAGTGCAATGGTATAACGCTGAAGTGCGTTTTTGATCATGCCGAAGAGCAAAGGAGGCATTGTAACGCTATCTTGTCGATAGCTACGCCGAAGTGCGATGGTGGTACTTATGAAGTGCGATGGAATACATAAATCATATTTTCAATGATTTGTCAGGTTCGCATCGAGAAATAGGTCTATTTTTTTGTTAAAACTAGCTTTTCGTTGGATTTTTATGTCATGAAAAATAGTCTTTGCATTTCCAGTCCTCACTGTAACGTAGAAGTGTAGTATACACCGTACTTTTTAAAAATACTAGTATCTTAGAAAAAACAAGCTGTCGTACATACAATTGTTTAGAAATTGACACTACCTACAAAAGTTTTGTTTCCTTCAAAACCAGTACTGATTGCAAATATACTTCTTGGTTAGTCAGAACGAAACAAAATAAGTGATAAATACGGTTGATGTGAACGAGAACAAGGAATAAGATATATCACGGAATTTTGTTTTACTGCAAGTGGAGAAAATGTTGATTGTTGATATTTATATACTAACTTTTACAAAAATCAAGCTCTCATAATAATTTGACATCAGTTGATTTTTGAGATTGGACAAAATTGAACATCAACATCTCAAAAATGAAAAATGTTATCTGTTTCGTTTGATATTTTGTTATGTGATCTGAAGTATTTAGCGTCATGTCCAAAAGTAATAGATTTATATGAAGATAAAGTAAATATCACAATGAAAAGCCGAGAAAGACTTTGCGTGTTAATAAAATTGAGAATGGAAATAGGGAATGTGTCAAAAAAACAACAACCCGACCAAAGAGAAGACAACAGCCGAATGAGTCTTCAATGCAACGAGACACTCCCGTCCCCGGAGGCGTGCTTCAGCTGGACCCTAAACAAAAATGTATACTAGTTCAGTGATAATGGAAGTCATACTAAACTCACAAAATATAAACAAGAAACTAAAATTAAAAATCAAACAAGACTAACAAAGGCCAGAGGCTCCTGACTTGGGACAGGCGCAAAAATGCGGCGGGGTTAAACATGTTTTTTGAGATCTCAACCCTCTCCTATACCTCTAGCCAATGTAGAAAATACAAACACACAACAATACGCACAGTAAAACTCAGTTCAAAAGAAGTCCTAGTCCGATATCAGAATAGGTAACAAAAGATACTAAACAAAATGACAATGGTACATAAATTAACAAAGGACTACTAGCAGTTACTGACATGCCAGCTCCAGACCTCAATTAACCTGATTGAAAGATTATGTCTTCATCATATGAATATCAAGTACAATCCCTCCCGTTAGGGGTTTAGTATTATACCATCATAAAATATACGAGAAGACCATAACCCGTATCATGCCAACAACTGGTTTTAGAATAAATGTGTTTTATTTCCGATGCAAAGACCCTATAAGTGAATCAATGTTAAAGCCAAAATATGCAATCTTTAATGACATGACAGCAGAATCGTAACTTTATCCCATTAAATCCCATAAAACAGATCAACAAGCTTAAAGAAAGGTAGTTGGTCGTTAATGCATGCGTTTTTTTATTCACTTTTGATTGTTTCCCATTGTTAACAATGGTTAAGGCTATTAACTATTTAAACGATATTGGTTTTGATGATTGGTGCTTTCTGTAAAGAGATTTTAAATTTTGTTGGATAGCTGTATCAAAAGTCTACATGGCACATTTCCTAGTTAATTGTATTGCAATAAGTCATGTAATACCGACCACATTTAAAAAAAATAGAACCATATATAAAAAAGAAGATGTAATATAATTGCCAATGAGACAACTCTCAACAAGAGACCAAATGACACAGAAATTAACAACTATAGGTCACCGTACGGCCTTCAACAATGAGCAAAGCCCATACCGAATAGTCAGCTATAAAAAGCCCCGAAATGACAAATGTAAAACAATTAAAACGAGGAAACTAACGGCAGTCTATTTTGTTTCAGATATATAAACAATAATCAACTTACTTCAGTACAACAAAGAACGTTTGAAAACCTGCCAGCGCTATATGAGCTGTACGTATACATTGTTATAATATTTTATTAGAAATTGACGTAAAATAAATGTCCTTTCCAATCATGGTATATATATATAATGTTATATCTATATATATAATATTCATTACTATTAATGAATTTGGCTATCTGGCGTTCTGTCGGCCAAAAATGCAGCTTTGACTGACCCTGTTATTTAGACTTGATAGTATATGAATCAGCACGAATGTCTAAACTTAAAATAATAATAGAAACGATATTGATACATAGCTTTTAAATCATATATAGGTAGCACGCATTGTAGTCGTAGCTTGTTCACTTACCCTTTTTGAATTTCTCGTTTAGAAGAAAAAAGAAGACATAAAGTGTGCAATTAAAAATCGTAATTCCAGTAACACAGGAATCATGTCATAAAAAAAGACGACAAAAAAGACATATAATGACAAACAACTACACAGAAAACTAAAGCTTAAGCGAACGAACCCTACTGAAAACTGTTGACCTTTAATATGATTGAAAATCGGGCGTGTCTAGTGCAGAAGAAATGGTACCATTTCATTTTTTTAGTTGAGAAATTATATGTCAGCGAAACGTATTTAGTTCGGGTATTAAAATGCAATTCAACCAATGAAGGTATGAATATGGAAGTTATACTTTTCCCTGGTAGAGATTACAAAAATATTATCCTAAAATGTACATTCATGAAGAACATTTTCACTTAAATGTAACGAGACTACAATTCTATATCATTTCTTTTGAAAGAAGCAAATAGATGCTACTATTAGAATATAATATAAAAGTTAAGAAGGTACAGAAACAAAAACAGTTAAACAAATAAGAGCAACGCTCTAAATGAAAGAGGGACGAAAGATACCAGAGGGAAAGTCAAACTCATAGATCGAAAACAAACTGACAACGCCATGGCCAAAATTAAAAAGACAAACCGACCAATAATAGTATAGATGACACAACATAGAAAACTAAAGACTAAGCAACACGAACCCCACCAAACACTGGGGGTTATCTCAGGTGCTCCGGAAGGGTAAGCAGATCCTGCTCCACATGTGGCACCCGTCGTGTTGCTTATGTTATTACAAATCCGGTAAATAGTCTAATTCGGTAGGTCACATTCTTGAAAAGGGAAGGGTATTGTTGTTACGACATAAGGAACATATCCTATATCATCTGTGAAACGTTTATTCCATAACGGTCAACCAACTCTTGATGGCGTCCGTAAAATTTACGAAGGGATGATTTCAACTTCACCATTTGGAACTCTTGGTTTAATAGCTTCCTTGTGAGCCGCAATCCTCTATCAAGGAAATCATGATAGGAAATACAAGCCCGGGAATATCGTATCAATTGGGAGATATATACTCCGTATGCAGGCGCTGCTGGAATGTAGAAAGTTACAAAAGAATAACCAAACATTTAAATTGAATGAAGTACACATTAATTTATAGAAAATATGTTCTATGGAATATGCTATGTCAACTACTATAACACACAACTTATATGCAACCTCATATTATTAAGGAAACGATAAAACAATGTTATTCATAAATGAAGTCTCACAAATCTAAAAAATGATGCATTCAATCGTTATTTCTTATCTAAAGTTTATTGATGTAATATGAAACAATCAACACTAAAATGAACATTTGCGTAAATGGCGCTGTAAGTAGTGATGACGCGGTTGAATTAATTTACCATAACACGTTTTTGAATTGAAATACTGCGGCACCAAATAAAAGCAAAGGGATGCAAATGAAATTATTATTTAATTGTATGATTGAACCTGCACAAAGAACTTGAAATACATACCTGAATTTTATGATACTTATGTATATTAATACTTAAAGCATCTTATCATTTTGTCTCTAGACAACTGCGAGTAAACAGCATATCTGTTATTGAAGATAACACCTTCATGAATCTCACAGGATTGGTTGGGTTGTAAGTACTTTTCTGTATAAACTTTATATGCTTTTACAAGAATAACTTTTAAAATAGTTGAATGACTTCTGATGTGTCGAGTTAAATGAAATTCCATGTACATTCCGCATTATCTTAATTGCACAATCGTTGTATTCTCAACAAAAATTAAATAAGGCGATACAAGGACTAAATAACATTCTTTTCAGTACAAACCATAAAAACAGATTATTCAACAATGGTTTACTAACAAAACTGAAAACTCCAGATTCAACAAAATTGAAAACACCAAAAACAGATGGGTGCTTTCATACGTAAGCATTAATGGTTTCACCAATGGCACCGCCAAATGATAATCGATCTATTAGTGTGTATGTCACGGACGTACACTCACTTATTTGAATATAAAATGTAGCAAATCCTTTGTAATCTTTGTCATTTATAATGGTCAAGTCACCTATAAAGTCGTCAGTTGAGCTTTAAAAATATGGTTGAAACGGAAACTCATACGAAATCATTGTTTCGAGGTTTCAATTTAAGCTTGCTGCCGTTATCATACAAAGCCAGCTATCGAAAATCAAGAATTCTGTATCAAAAAGGTAATTGGTTTTGACACAAAACAACGACAAGAGAAAACCTCACATTATGTACCACAGAATACATTTAGAACATTCGTATACAAACGTTTAATGAGATACTAATGTTTGAATGTGTCCGCAAAACAGTGCTGAGTAAGACACAACTTACATCCTAATTTACATTTGGTCTTAGGGTGAGAAAATTTACATGACCGTTTATATAGGAATTTTGTAATGTTTCGGGTTAACTGAGAATCAATTACCAATATTGTTTTTGTGTAATGCGTAATTAAATTATTTGACTTAAGAACTGTTATTCTAAGAACGATTTGCTGAACCTTTTTGTATGGTTGTGTTGCTCTGTCTTTCGTTGACTGTGTAGTGTTTTCTCTTTTCGACATAAGTCTTTTAATTTTTTGCCATGGTGTTGCTAGTTTGTCTTCGTCTTTCTCGTGAGTTTTAATGTCCCTTTGGAACCTACCACCTCTTTTGTAGTTGTATATACATGTGTATAACCCAACTAAAAAAAGATTAGAAAAGTATTGCTTACATTTTAAATAAAATTTCAACACAAATTAGGCCAAGTTAGGCACCCATTACACACGTTCTTGACATATACAATTATATTCTGAAAAAAAATCTCATGCTCTAAGGACAAGCTCTGTTTTGTTATTAGCACTATTATTGAAAATATGTTAAAAATTGGAGATACACTTGTTGTTTTCATTTAATATTGTCTCCAAAACTTATTTCTTGATTACAGATACAAAATTACAAATAAGGCAAATATCAATAAGAAAAAGTTCATGAGCCGAACATTAATCTTCAGTTTGCAAAGATTGTGTGCAAGATTTTTATTTTGAATGTCTATTTATCTATAACAATAAACATTGCTGACAATTTGTTATTTATAACGGATGACATACATGTATGTGTCGAGTTTTGTGATTGGACAAAAACACAGAGATGTCAGTAAATATTCAGGAAACTGCAAGGGTATCTACGACATTTTTTCACACCAAAATGTTTTATAAACCATTGCAAATTATAATTTGTACAAAATGATAACATGTACACAACTCAGATACCATATGAGTAGGGTAAAGTATTTTATTAAAAAGGAAGAGGTAAAATTATCCTGTAAGATTTCAGTACCTAATAAATTGTGCAACTTTTAAATAAAGATAATGAAAACAGCAGACACGCTTCAGCCGGCAAACACTGCAAAATATAAAATTAATTATTAACTTCCGTTATAAAGAACAGCTTTCATTGTTTTGTTTCAGACTTTTGGACTATAATCGAATAACTGCAATACAACGAGGAATGTTTCGAGGACTACCAGCGCTCCGTACTATGTATGTTCATATATTTATTACAATCTGTTTGACAACATTTAATCCAAAGCAAATTTGAAATATGACCAAAAGTCAGTCAGTTTACTGCTATTTATAATAACTGCTTTCTGAAACCCAATAGGAAAACCCATGGTAATTAAGCTGAATTCTTTATTATTGCTGGACACGCGCGCCTAGCACATAGCTCATCTCAAGCTGCAGTTTAAATTGAAGGTCACGTGAATACAGATCTAACACGGTTGAATTATTTACTGACAAGTCAATAATAATTCAGCAATTTGTTTAAATCGTAGCTAATGCCTCCTTACACATCACATTTACAAATTAAAACCCATAAATTCTATGAGCGTTATTCAAAATAATAAGACGAGTGTTACAAATTGAAACTATGTAAGGAATATTATGATATGGTCGTCACATAGCAATTCTGTAGTGGGGATAACAAACCATCGTTTTTCGAAAAATGTTAACATTTAAACAACATTTATCTCGGTGAAGTGATCAGATAAAAGCCTGCTGATTTCAACAGTGCTAACGCCCTATTCATATATAATCCGGTTCGCCAAATTGTTAGTGGCGATCTGAACATTGTCAATAACACTTTTCTGCGGAATGTGCTATCCAACAATCAATTATTTGAATATACAACTTCATAATACTGATGAATTCAATCGAGAATTATGCTAGTCAATGGGATAAACGCACCAATGAAGACGTAAATACTCTTTCAGGGTGGGTTAAAGCAGTGAGGTTGTTATTACAAATTGAAATAAAAACGAATGAACGTGTATATGAATACACATGCTGCATAGATCTTTAAAGACCCAAATGTTGATACGTTCATGTCCTACCTGCATGTTTCCCCCGCCAATTAAGCCACAAACAAATCGTTTGTTGCCTGGTGTAAATCACATTACATATACTGCATTTAAAGAAATAAGATATTGATAATTCACTTGAAAACCCCTCGTAGATGAGTTTAAATCAATACTTTGTTTTTGTAATTCTCATTCCCCTGGATTGATTTAATGTCACGAGTTCATAAGTTATAGATAAGTAGACGAATGGTGTTAATATCGGAAAACAGAGTAATAAAATTGAGAATGGAAATGAGGAATGTGTCAAAAAGACAACAACCCGACCATAGAGCAGACAACAGCCGAAGGCCACCAATGGGTCTTCAATGCAGCGAGAAACTTCCGAACCCGAATGCGTCCTTCAGCTGGCCCCTCAACAAATATGTCCAGAGGCGTCCTTCAGCTGGCCCCCTCAACAAATATGTTTACTAGTTCAGTGATAATGGACGTCACACTTAACTCCAATTTATACACAAGAAACTAAAATTAAAAATCATACAAGACTAACAAAGGCCAGAGGCTCCTGACTTTGGACATGCGCAAAAATGCAGTGGGATGAAACATGTTTTTTGAGATCTCAAACCACTCCCTATACCTCTAGCCAATGTAAAAAATACAAACACACAACAATACGCACAGCAAAACTCAGTTTAAGAGAAGTCCGAGTCCGATGTCAGAATAGGTAACAAAAGAAAATAAAGAAAATGACAATAATACATAAATTAACAAAAGACTACTAGCAGTCACTGACATGCCAGCTCCAGACCTCAATTAAACTGATTGAAAGATTATGTCATCATCATATGAATATCAAGCACAATCCCTCCCGTTAGGGGTTTAGTATCATATCATCATAAAATATATGAGAAGAACATAACCCGTATCATGCCAACAACTGGTTTTAGAATAAATGTGTTTAATTCCGATGCAAAGACCCTATAAGTGAATCAATATTAAAGCCAAAATATGCAATCTTTAATGACCTGACAACAGTATCGTAACTATATCCCTTCTTATTAAGTCTGTTTCGAGGTTTTGTTAGCTTTTGAGGTGAATACTGACATTTTTGTGCTTTGTAAAGAATATTACCATAAAAGATTGGATGTCAAATACCTGAACGTATAAGATGTCTGCATGTTGAGTTATATTTACGAATGATGTCCTTGTACCGATGATAAGATTATGTAAATGTTTTGATTAGTTTGTGATATCGAAAACCCTGGTGTAATTATTTTTCAGCCATACATGAATTTCTCTCGCTAAAATCTAATACGTTGTTACATACACGAGCGAATCGAACAAGTTGAGATATATAAACACCACAAGATGGTGACAAGGGAACGTCACCATCTAAAAATGGATAATTAACGATAGGAAATGAAAAAATCATCTCTTTTATCATAAATTTTTGTATTAAGCTTCCCGTTAATGATAGAGATATCAAGATCGAGGAAAGGGCAGTGGTCATTGTTAGTATTAACTTATTTAAAGTAAGTTCAACAGGATAAATTTCTTTAGTATACATACTGACGTCGTCATTATTGAGAGCCAATATATCATCAAAATATCTAAAAGTATTGTCAAATTTTTGTATAAGATGTTGTTTCGATGAGTCTTTGCTGATTTTAGTCATAAATTGTAACTCATAACAATACAAAAACAGGTCCGCAATAAGTGGTGCACAGTTAGTCCTCATTGGAATTCCGATAACCTGACGATATACGGTATCTCCAAAGCGAACAAAAATGTTATCTAGTAAAAATTCTAGGGCAGATATAGTATCAAAGCATGTCTAATTGACATAGTTCTTTTGTTTGTTGCTACTAAAAAATGACCTAAAAGAGTTTGAACATATGTATTCGCATTCTGACTTTTTAAATGCCCATTTTATTAGGTGTGTGAATTTTTTCTTAATAAGAATATGAGGCAAAGTGGTATATAGGGTAGAAAAATCAAAACTTTGAACAGATTCAAAATCACCAATTTATGCATGCAATTTATCAAGTACTTCCAACGAATTTTTGACACTTCAAAAGTAATTAATTCCACTATTTTCAAAGGCCTTATTTGAACAATTTATTATCAGGTTTTTTATTGTACCAAGTGTACTAGAAAGTAGAATAGACAATTTAGTAGTGGAACAATGGCTTAGAGACGAAATAAATCTATATTTGTAAGGTGTTTTGTGTAGCTTCGGAAGCCAGTAAATAGTTGGAACTTTCATTGTATTTGGTATATAGCGGCTGAAATCCCCCATTGGAAACGATAGCAAAAGTTAAAAAAAACATTAGCATTTGTTTTAAAATTCGGAATTCAAGAATTACTTCACACCAACGGGAAAAGAGACCACAATATATTTGAAAACAACGCAAACAGTATATAAGTGTCGAAAATAAGCAACTAAATTTTATATAAAAACGGCGAACTTTTAACAAACTAACGGACAAAAATATCACAATTTATCTAATTATATAGAAAACATTTTTTTTTCGTTTCAGATGGTTGAATAGCAATCAAATTACTACAATAAAACCAGGAACGTTTGCAGACCTTCCAGCGCTATCTAATCTGTATGTAAAAAGTTTTACAATATTGTATTCACAGGCAAAAAAAACATCGAAACACTTTATAAATGGCATGAGTCCGAAGCGATTTTCTGGAATTACATTCATCAGGAACGAATATTTACTTTTACAAGTATCATAAATTTAGTTGGATCTAAATGTTTTCAAAACAGACTGCATAACAGAATCATACGTGGGAACATTGAATATGTAGACTTTTAGATCGTTTTTGAAAATATTTAAAAAGAAATAATATATTTGTTTTATGTTCTATGATTCCAACTATAAAACTATTTCTATATGTATATACAAAACAATCAGTTATCCAATGGATTAACTGACACGCAAATTAAATAAGATAAAAAATTGATTTAGACTCAACGTGTAATAAAACGAGTTTCGTGTCATGACAATGTTAAAGAAAGTTCTGAACCAATTATATGCTTATATACTAACGTATGTCATCTGTGCACGTTTTGTTTTTAAATATATTACGATTCAATATCGTATAACTGACACAGAATATTGAATTTTGTGATACACAAAGGCAACAGTAGTATACCGCCGTTCAAAGGTTATTAATTGATTGAGAGCAAACAAATCCGGGTTATAAACTCAAACCAAACGAAACACATCAACTATAAGAGGAGAAACAACGGAACAACAGAAACACTGAAGTGCAACAAAAACAAACGCAAACATACATAAAAACGAACTATTTGAAAACAACAGCCATAGTCCTGATATAGTACAGGATATTTTAAGAAAAAATTGTGGATTGAGCCTGGTTTTATGACTAGCCAAATCTCCCGCTTATATCCATATGGCAATGTTAAAAAATTACGTTAAAATGACAACACTACATGACAGAAACACAACACAAACAAACGCAAAAACACTCAGCCCAGAGAAACGAACAAACAAATAGTATAATTATAGTTGTTGCAACATGTAAACCGCAGAATAACAACGAACATCTTCCATTAACGGCAGCACAGGACATCACAAACAGTGACGTATTTTTGTAATGAATATATAATCTTGAAATTCATACAATTATTTTCATAATACTATAACAAACAATGATCATGATTATCACGGTATAAGAAACAACCTTAAACTTTAGCTGCTAAAAAGCTTTTCGGTTAAGGTGCACAAATTTATCGATCATGACCTTGATAAGAAATCAAACAGCCTCGTGAAGAACGTGTTGTACATTTCTTTCAGTTTGTATATTTCCCATGCTTTTACTTGAGAGTCCGTAAATGAATTGGACATTGTTTTTCTTTCAGTGTCAATTAGTAATATCTTTCTTCAAGTTTTGTATACTTTAATGTCTATCCAGGATTTCTCCTTTTCACTTGTTATTTACGAGATGTCAATGCTAAGGTCACTGCATACAGAAAAGCTGTTGTCGAGTTGGATAAGATAATGGGGATCAAAAATTTCAAAAGTAGTTTGTTTTCGAAAATTTGGACATGAAAGAGAATTGTTTTATTACAAGCAAGGCTATGAAAACATGTTTTATAGTAAACAAACCAATCAAGTATATAACACCAATTAGTTTTTCGTAATATTTTAAAGATCAAGTACAATTACCTTGAAATCATATACCAAAATTCCAATCATCCGCAATTTATGTAAACGTTCACCAGCATTTACAATTTTATATGACCTTCCACTGTTTTAATTCTAGCGCAACTTATGAGTCTTTTTGAGACAAAATGTGCGTTTTGCATACCTAATTGTAACTCTGATATCGTTGGAGAGCTTTTATAATTTAAATTTGCGACCATATGATGTGTTGAAATAATTATAAAATTATCGCTGGCTCAAAATATCAGCATTTTCTGTTCATCATAAATGAGAGTGATTTTGCAACCCAAACACATTTTGTTCGTCACCATTTTGTCATAAAAAGATCCAAAATATATTTATATGCAGTTTTTGCCTGATATTGATATGCAAGACAGCCCGGCGAAAGATAAATCTGAGAACACTTCTGCTACGTGCTTGATAGGCCTATGCGCACTAATTGCGCCCCTTTAATAGCAGATCTATTGATCACAGTTTATGGCAAAACTCAGCAAAGACACGACATTGCTAGATTTGGTGACACATACATCAATACCTACCGTTATCTTGATGATATATGTTCGTTAAAGTCATATGAGTCGAGTGACTAGTGAAAAATAATGTTAATCCAATTCTTGAACCAATGCATACATATATCATAAACTTAATAGTCTTATGTGCACGATTTTATCATTTTTTATGTACCTATATCGAATAATAGTCAAAAAATATTTCACTTGGCTACTGTTATTTTGAAAATATGGTTTTTATAAGATTTTCTTGCTATGTTTTTTGACCCATTGGTTGCCTTGGGCTGTTTTCTGCTCTTTGATCAGGTTGTTGTCTCTTTCACACACTCCTAATTTCCATTCTCAATTTTTATAGAAAAGGTTCTTAAACATGTCCCAGGAATTTCACCTGCAATATCTTGAATTCATTCTATTACCAATCAAGTTTAAGTGCTCTCAAAGCTTGCTGATGACAATTATCTACTTTACGATATAAATTAACTATCTTTAAATGAGGAGATGAAATGGCTAGTTAGATTTCTGGTTCAAAATCTCTATGTTTCCAACACTGCGGTAACTTATATTGGAAGTTAAAAAAGAGCTGATAATTGACACTTTTCAACCAGTCAAACTGATTGTTTATTGAGGTATCGTTTGAATAAATAATAATGAATTATGATTCTGATTTTGATAAATTAAGACAAAAGTAGTTTATCGATGTTAACATGTAGTTAATCGAATAAGAAGAGACAGATCAAGATCCATTATTAACTATTTTGAATTTAAACGGTCCTTTTGATAAATACAGCTCCTAAGAGAAAGCACACTGAATTGTGAGGTTTTGCTCAGTCTTTCAATTAATTTTCAGAGTTATTCAACGTTCTGCATTCCCCTGTAGTCAATTAAGCTCTGTTCAATCTACGTTTAGATGATTTGGTAGTTGTTATTTGCCTTTACAGAACAACACCATCCTTCATTGTCTAAACATATACTGAACAGGACTAGATTGCCTGCAAGCTAAATGTCGGATTAGTACTGAAAAATATCTGGAAAAATAGATTAAACTCAAAGGCAACTTAACGTCTCTGGGTTCAGACTTTCAGATGATATCAAGATCTGATTAAAAATCAAGTTTAATTACTAATTAAGGTAACAAAGAAAAACTGAAAAATTGCATAAACATCAAAAGTATCGAAACCGGATTCGTCTTTTTTTTACAAGCGTCACATGCCTTGTTGATCAAAATTTAGTCAAATTGTACAATCGGAAATAGAACACAGTCGGTTAGATTGCAGATCATACGACTATAATTATGTTTAATTGGTCAACCAATTTGTGATGGTGACCGTAGAACTTACAAAATGTCGATTTCTGTCGTACTTCCCCAAAACGACATCACATGGTAGGAAATTATAATGGTGCTTGAGTTCTAAAATGATTAATTTGAACATTTTTAATTATGACATTTACATGTACTTAGTGTAAGAGAATAATTTTCAGTGTGAATTAAATGGCATAAAACATGTAAAAGATGATAAAAAAAACTCAGATAAAAAAAAATTGTTCAAAAATCTACTATGAGCATTACAAATTGATGAACTGAAAGAACAGGGAATTTTATCTCCCAGACAAGTTTGATGAACAAATTATTTCGATTTGACAACACACCAGTGTTTTTCATAGGTAGAAGATATACAAAAAAACATTTCAGTTAAGATTCCAAAAGAAAGTGAATTTCGTGTAACGTCAAAACAATGAGATATTGATACATCTCTCCTGATTCCATTAGATATGCAGTAAAAGACAATTTTTTAGAAGTAATAGAATAACTAAATAATCCCATGTAAATATAAATATAAAACATATGTGCAAGCAGTTAACGGAATTTTTATTTTGAGTCACATGCATTATCACAAACGCATAAAATGGGGATCAATAGTGAACTTGATATGTATCAAAACTATCATCTTCGCTAGCAAAGGGTTACGATCCAGCCCCTTCTCTCCTTCCTTGGCGGATTAAGATAGAATTTCGGAGACAAGAGGTATTGATTTCTATTGGTCGCAATTGTAACTGACTGCATCCAATCCAAAAAGCACCTTTAAGATGATCACGTGTAAATGTAGAAAATGTAAATAAACAATTGCCACGTGCTGAGTGTGCTTAAGAATGGAATGCGTATATATAGATATAATTGATATACTTAGATATTGAGATTTTTTACCTAAACACAATTTGGTTTATTCAGAGATTTGAGTGGAAACAATTTGACAGTTGTGAAGGCTGACACTTTTGAACATAACGTAAAATTAAAACTGTTGTAAGTACAAATTAAAGCAATAAATGCAATAACTTACATCTTTGATTTAATATAAGACCATTATATATATTGTGTCGTCTTGAATTTTGATATGTACCCTATGAGTATGCTATTATTATTTCGTAAAATAATGTGAGATTACAATCATAGATAGACATTCTAACATTTGATTGAATGTTACTTACACGTATTTCAGTAAATAGAATGAGGCCAGTTCCTTAATGTCGATATTAAAGATGACAAAAACTAAATGAAATACGACTAACAATGGAATGCTTTCACCCCTATGCAACAATAGCATGATTTCTAAATTAAAATATAACCCTATTAAAATGTAGCAACACAACTACTGACCTAAAACAAAGTAAAACAAAATTGCAATTTATCTTTCAAATTGTTTTTTTTTTTATTAATCACCATTGATGTGAATATAAAAGTACAAACGTTGTGGTTGTGCGTTTTCAAACAGCTTTACTGCCAACTTTGAGGAAAGGTTCAAAATTACAAGTCAAAATTTTAACAATTTTGAATGTTTACATGTTCTAGATAAAGTAAATACAAGAAACATCATTGATGAAGTGATGAATCTGATGGCATAATGATAACATATGGACGAATATTTCCATTTCAATAACAACAAATTAAAAACAAATATGGAGGGGAACTTTGTCCTGTTTGTTCACCTTCCCCTCCAGATGTATATCATACAAAAATTAGTTTTCTTCTATAGCCAATTCAGCATTTTATAAAACAGGAATAGTGTTATTGTTAGTTTGTTGTGATAATTTTTTTAACAAAGATCT